GAAATGTTATGATGTGATCTTTAGGAAATTCAATTTTGTGAATTGAAAAAAAATTTAATGAAAAGATCATTTCATTAATTTTATCGATATTTTTTATTTGATGCTAACATCAATTCATAATTTTCTGATTATTTACTTTATGCTATCTTTACAATCTTACCATTTTGTTATTTTCGGCGTTTCATATAGAAATTTTCCAAGCATAATGATTGTAATTTGTGAATAATCTGCAATAAAGAAATAATTTCACAAATTTAAAACAAAAAATTATGTGCGTAAATTTATTAAATTTACCAATTCGTCAATAACGTATAAATGACCATTCAAAAAGTGTGCAACAAAAGTAGATTTTCAAAAGTAATTCCGGTAAATCTCAATTGTTTGATGCGGATTCTAAAAAGTTATATTTATAAGAATGACATCAAAATAAGTTTCTTTTCTCATATTGGAACCTGAATAACTTGATAAAACTTCTAAATTTTCATTTAAAATCCACAAAGTTACATCAATTTCCATGCCTGATAAAAAAAATGTATTTGTCCATATTTTCCGGATAGTCAACAATACTAGTTGCCAGGCTTGAGTGAAGATCCCAACTATCTTCCAAAAAATTCCCGTCAAAAATGAAACCATTCAAATCCTCCTCTGATCTCTAAAAATGTTATAACATAAATTTCAAACTTCACTCAGCTTCATTTGAATCCCAAAAAAATTTCCCGAATTATATGGCTCTTTATTAAGAATTTTCCAAAACACAAGACAAAATTTAGTGTATCATCGGATTCATTAACTGGCGAGCATTGTTTATATCTAATCGTGGCTTCTTGAACAACCGCTTAAGACTCAAAATATCAAATTATTATGAATTATAATTTAAAAAAAGAAAAATTTATTCGATGTCACATCAAATCATTCATTGACGTTGTTTAAACTTCTTCCTTTTTTTTTTTTTAGAATTGGCCAATTGTCTAACAAAATAATTATTAGAATAGTATTTTATGGGAAACACATTGGTAATGTTTGAGATGCTGTTTGCAAATAATAATGGAACAAGTCAGAATGATCCAACAAGGAAAAATCATAGCTGAATCACCAAGTTTTCCCCAATAAGAACCATTCCCCAGAATATTCCCATACCTATCATTTGCACCGTTCTTCCAAAAATACATTGTTTCCAATGCTTCCTCTCTTTTTATAGTCGTGATAAAATTTTTTTAAACTTATTCAAATTTATCTAGCATTTAATTCAAATTTATCTAAAATAATTCAAATTGACTTAAAATAATACAAATTTACCTAATATAATTCAAATTTCTAAAATAATTCAAATTCATCTGAGGTAATTCAAATTTATCTAACATAATTCAAATTTATCTAAAAGTATTCAAATTTATCTAAAATAATCAAAATTTACCTAATGTAATTCAAATTTATCCAAAGTAATTGAAATTTATCTAAAATAATTCAAACTTATCTAAAATAATTCAAATTTATCGAAAACAATTTAAAATTATCTGACATAATTTGAATTTACTTAATATAATTCAAATTTATCTAAAATAAACGAAATTTATCTAACATAATTCAAATTTATCTAGAATTGTGCAACAATCATGCAACCAATTGAAAGACACGCACAACAACCATTGACGTCAGCTGTTCCAACTGTTTACCAATGTGATGTTGTCACGTCTTCAAACAGATTGCACGTCACAATAATAATTATCCTTCTCTCTTTTATGCTTTAACTCGTCAACTGTCAAATAGACTTCGCTCTTTTTCTCAAGCGTTCTATCAAAGCTCAGAATTCAACGCATATGTTTCTATTATTCGCGAATTTCCCTTAATCAAAGCACAATTTTTTGATGATTAAACCGAACATTTTACTCAGTTTGTTTTATTGTTTTGGATATTTTATTGTTTTGGATATCTACTACGTGACATTGCGAAGCATGCAGAATGCTCGACATGTCGAAAAAGTTTGTCTAGAATTGTTACGAGAATATTTTGAGATCATTTATTTTGAGACTGAGATCTTAAGTAACCCTTCTTGTTGTGAATCATATAAGCAAGAGAAAGTAACCCGATAGTATCGATCTTTGAAGCCCGGGAGATGAGCGATTTTATATCTAAACTATCTTCGGCTTGCAATTTTGATTTTATATTTGAGTTTTTAAGAAATATCATCAAAGTTAATTAACAAAATGTATCCTTAAATTTAATTGGTATTGTAAAATAAAAATCTTACAGGAGCATTTCAAAGAAATTTTAAATAATGGATTAAATACAAGGCATTTGTTACATGCGGATCGTTTCCATTATTTAGCTGAAAAAGAATGCTTTTTTAAATTGTCATCTTTACTTCAATACTATTTTAGTTTTTCTATTTTTATTTTATCTTTATTCATTTTTCGCAAAATGAAAAATATATGAAAATTATAAAAACAATTAAGTAATTTCATGTAGGTCATTAAGCAAACAAAGATGTATCTCCTTCAGACTTATTTCCTTTCTCCAACAGGTTTCAATAAACAGAATTTGTATAAAAATGTTTACATGTTTGTGTTCATGATTAAAAATATGACAAAGAAATGTAAACTTTTTGTTTTTTCAAAAGAAATGAAATAAAAGTGCATTGAGAGCAAAGCGTAAACATATATTGTTGCCATTTCATTAACAATTTTTTTTTTTTTAAAAGATCAAAGATGAAAAGAGGTTGTTCATAGGTTTAGAACAAACAGAATACTCGATCATCTCTATTTTTCACTCTGAAAAAAGTAGCATGACATCATTCATTTGATTTTTGAAATGCAAATAAAAATAAGGTGGACGAGTATTTTTTTGTTTTGAACACCGATCTAATGACTCATCCACTTTATTTCCATTTTTATTTCAAAAATAAAATGAATGTCGAATCATTCTTTTTTTTTCTACATTAAAATGGATTTTTGATTTAACTTCGGTGCTTACAAAATAATTTTTCGAGCGATGATTTCAAGTAAATAATTCATTTAAAATCACAAATGAATGAATGAATTAACGAATATGTTTAATGAATATGTTAATTAATGAATATGTTTGGTAATCCTATTCAATTACTCATTCCTCATTTTTTGTAATTTCAAGTACTTCAAAACTTAATGCTGATAATTGTAACTGGCATTCTAAAATAGTCAAATTTTATTAACCTTAATCATTTACAGATTTTTGGCACATCTTATATTTAAAACAAATTAAAATTATGATTAGTTCTTGTGTAGTAGAACAATTTTTAGCAAAAATATTTGATTGCAATATATACATGCTTGATAAAATATCTGATTAACAGTAATTAATAATCATGCGTTCAATAAAATATATAAGAGTAATTAATAATATTATGCTATTTCTATAGCATTATTTCTTATTCCTTCTTTTAGCACATTCTATAAATTACGTTCTATAAAATATACAATATTTCTTATCATTTATTATCAGTAATTACCCAATTTATTTTTTTATTACTCATTGCATATTTATTATCAGTAATTGCTCACCGAACCAATATTAGTAATAATAGAATCATAATTAAAGTAGAATAATTAGATAGTACTGCAATTCTCACTTTTAAATACAATATGTCTCATAAAATTGTAAAATCACATAAAATTATAAGAATTGCATATGATATTAAATAACAAATATATATTTTCGCTAAGTAATAGCACATTTAAAATTTTGGAATAATTTTTTGAAAAAGCTATAATTTTTAGCATGTTTAAAATTTTTCATCCGTGTGATCTTCCATTAAATTAAATTGCTGTAGCATATTTTCATATTAGATTAGTCATAAGGGATTATCTAAACTTTACAAAGAAATATTTCACTCTGTACGAATCATTCGACGAAATTGAAATAGTCACACTCAAAAAAATTTAATTAAACGATCATATAATTACAATTCCGAAAATTTGTAATGCATTATTCCTGATATTAATTAAATAATTAGATCTACTGGCTGCATCATTCATCAATTCGAATACTTCATGCAGCTTTTAGAATTAAAAAAAAAATATATCGTCTGTGTTTTTACTGAATTCACATTTCCATTGTTTCACTTCTTTTTCAAAGTTTCGTTTCCGTTCAAAAGTTACAATGTTTCTTTTGAATATAACGCTATCCGCACTTATAAAATAATATGGAATTTCGTTCGAACAAAAATCAATTATTAGCATATTTGAAAAATACACATTTCTGCCAGGTTTTTTATGCTATATCTGTGCTAAATTCTCGCTAAATGATTATATTCAAAGAATACATCAAATATATATTTTTGTGCTAAATTCTCGTCAAATAAAATATTCAAAGAAAACATGTAATTTAAAACAAAATTTGAGCTCAATGAAAAATCAACAATTTGCATTAAATAATGCTCTGCATTCTTAAACAAAGATTTTGTTTGCGAAATAATCATGTTAAAACTTTTTTATAATTTCCCGTAGAGAACATAAAAAATTCATGTTGAATTTGAATTTAGAAATTTTCAACGAAGTGAAGAAAAAATTGGTCGATAAAAAAATGGTAACTAGCATTCATCATTATCATCATCATTATCAAATATAAAAAATTTCAGCTTTGTTCTATGCGCATTTAATAACTTCCAAAGTGAAGAAAATCATCGAATAGGACTTGAATAAGTGGCTATATGCAAGTGCGCTAAGCATTTCAAAATTAGCATAATAAATTGAATTGCTTGATTTAGATTATTTAATAGAAAATTTTTTTAAACATGAAATGAACCTATTTTTTTGCATATTCACAATGAATTTAATCAAACAAATTGAGTTAAAAAAAGATGTAACAGTTAAAAAGATAAATAAATAACAATGTTATTATATTTCACACTGCAAAAACCTGAGCAATATCTTAGATCAAAAATTAGTACAGTAGAAACAGTTGTAAAATAAATCATTCAAAAGATTTCAATCTTTCATTCTAACTCAACAAATAATTATTCCGATGTTAAATTTACTCTCTTTAAGAATAAATTTGAAACAAAAACAATTACATATACTTCAAATAGATTCATACGGATCTCGACTTTTCTTCTTCTGAGAATGAATACGTTTTGCATACAATCTTCGCTGTGCTGCTCTTCTTGCTCTAAAACATATTATCGCTTGCTTAAAATTAAAATTAATTATTTCTAATTGCCAATTATTTGATTAATTTCAAAAAATACAGAATTAATAAGATTTGTACGAAAAAAGAAACAAAACTGCAGTAAAATCAATTGATAAATTTCGATTATTTTCGTTTTAATTAAATAAAGAACAAAAATTAATGTAAAGAAAATGGAAGAAAATAGAAAAGACATATATTAAAAATTTACGAGATAAAAATAAAGATGGTTTGAAGATTTTGTTCATACTAATATGCGATGTTTCATTCAAATTATTATGCAAAAATAGTGAAATTTATAGAAATTGAGGTTTATAAATTGCTCATAATAATTTAAAATACAATTTAAATAATTTTTGCTTATATAAACTTAAAAAAAAAGAAGGAAAGAAACAATTTTGATTTTACTTTAGATAACATACCTATCACCCATAATTAATTTATCCTGATCTGTCGGTGATCTGTTATTCAGTAGCTCATTGTTGCATTCCAGCAACATAGCTTGCAACTTTTTAAAACAATCTTTTTGATTTTCTGTCTGAAAAAAAAAGCAAATATGAATAAGCTTCATAAATCTACAGAAAACTTTTTAGTATATGTGATACGAATTAGAAATCGAACTAATTATGCAAAATCTCTCCGCTCTCAAAAAAACATTACAATGTATGGACGTAAGTATTGAAGATTTTCCTCATTTAACAATTTCCATTTCTCGCCAGCAGGAAGATATTAACAACTCATAACAGTATGTATTTGATATTTAAAATTTACTAGCATATATATATAAGTATATATATGCTTACAATAAGCGTCAAAACTGAGGGAACAAACCAACTATGTTACCTGAATCCTTGATATATCGGATGAAATTACAACATCATGTTGTTTATTAAGCAATCGAGCAAAACGTTTCCGGAATACTTCCTGAATTTCCGGACTCAACCAATCTGCTTCATTTAAATTGAATCGTATTTGACATTTTGTGTTCACTGAATGCAAATCACTGAATGTAATTAATGTTGCAATTAAAGTCAAAGTGAGAATATTTTAAAGATGAAAATAAAAATAATTGAAATTGCGGGAGAGTTTAATGAGGTATGCATGAGTTAATAAATAATATTTTCGCTGGGCAAATTAGTGAAAAACATTAAACTAAAACATTAATTTTAATTTTACTTTTTTGAAAAAATTAATTCTCCCTAAATTATCTTTCCTGCAAAACATCTATAAAACAAGTTTATCAATAAATTACTGAACAAATAACTTCGTTTAAATTTGTTGGACAATTTTTTTTTTCCAGACCACATATGTCAGATTTTCCAACATTTAATTAGAATTATCTCGCATTTTTCGAGATCTAAAACACGCTATCCTTAAACATTATGAGTTTGAGTCAATTCTTAATGCTATTTGAAAAAATCAAACTGTTTCAAATCATGTAGAGTATTTTGAAAAAAGATTTTAAAATCCTATTAAGTTTTTTTTTTTTTAATCCTCAGTCTCATATTCAATGGAAAATGAAAGAATTATCAAATTTTGTATACTATGTATCGATACAGCTAAATTACTATTGATTGGTTTAAAATTTTTTCTACCTATTCTCATTAAGCATAAATCATCCTTATCAATGCTATGATAAACATAAAATCTATCACTTCTCGCAAGAATTCATTTAAACGAGACAGGTGGAGGAGAAAAAAAAAGTAAAAAATCTAAGGACATAAATGATTAATTCATTTATTTGCTAAGTTCACAATGCTAAATAACACAATATTACAATTAAATATATGCGGTAGGTGATTTTGATTTGTTGGTTAAAAATTAACTGATGTTTAATTCTTTTGCTTCGTAATTTAGATAATTTTGTTTTCATGGTGTAAAAAATTAACTGATGTTTGATTATTTCTCGTCAAAAAATTGAAATTGTAAACAAAATTTGAAATTTTCCTACAAAAAAAAAAGATGAAATATGATGAAATTCCTTGTTTCCTGAACAGGAAACAAGAAATTATAGACAAAAAACTAAGAAAAAAAAGAGTTTTAAAAAATTTTTGGATTACTTACACTGCAATTAATAATGCAATCAAGCACATACCCATATTAACGTTCTGACCACCGGGACCACTACTTCGCATAAATCGTTTCTCAATTTTATCTGTAAAAAATTTTTAAATTTTTACCAAAATTTAAATATTGAAATTTTTTTTTTAAAAAAGAATGACAAATCAATTATGGAAGTTAATGAACAAATTCAAGGTAATCTTTCGAAGTTCAGTTAAAGGAAATAAATTTAGAACTAAGAATTAATTAGGATGAATGTTATCTTCATGAATTATTCTTGACAGTAAATGGTAATTAATTCAATTAAGCCAACAAACCAATCATTATTTAATGAGATACTTTAAATTATCTTTTTAAATTAACAAATCTTCAAATTCTTTTTTAAAAAAATCAAAATTTCCAAATATATTATTCCTGATCACACTTTAAAAATATAAAAATAATCAAAAATCATCAAAGTGATTATTAGAGAATAAAAAAAAAAAGAACTTGCCAACCGGAATACATCCAATAAATTCATTGCCATCATCGCCCTTCTCTAAAAAACAATGCTAAAAGAAAAAAAAAATATCGAAATTAAATTTATCCGTCTTTTCATAAATCTGCTAATGCAAACCTTGAAAATTTTGTGAGAAAAACAAATTTCAGTTAAAATTGAAATCAATTACAAACTGGAATCAATTAAGGATTAAAAATCAATTACAAACTTAAGAATTAGAAATCAATTACAAACTGGAATATACACGAGAAAAGTGATGATGCTCGGGTTGTTTTGTTTGTAGTAATGATAATTTATTGAAGTACTGTCTGAGACGATGCATCAGCAATGATCATGCATTATTTTTTTTCTTTTTTTTTTGTTTAGCATCAAATATGGAGAATAAATTTGAAATGCTGAAAAATGAATGAAATTTACAAAATTAC